AATCAAACATAAAACATAAATAAAATCTTGAAAACCAGTACAACTTACAGAATAAAAGGAAATAAGTGCTAATGAGCTAATCACGAAACCTTCACGCCAGTTCACGGCATCACGACATCACCTAGGGTTTCGGCTTGAGAAACCCTAAACTAATAATAAACAAAAAAAATCTTGCCATTTTCCAAGCAATCATCATATATAAACATTATATCCAAATGATCAAAAGAAAAATCCGGTTCACAGTATGTAACGACAGTTACGACATGGGGACTGGGGAGAGAACTAGAGAAGAGAACGACTGAACGAGACTTCAAAGGAGACTTAAAATCAGAATTCATCACCTGCGATTCTTGCGAAATCGATCAAACAACAGCCGCTAAAGCACAGGGAACGGGAGAAGGAAGATGAAAGATGAAAAACTAGGGCACGCCGAATGCAGAGTCAGAGCAAAACCGGAGAACCCTAAACCCTGAAGTCGAACTGTCGAAGTAACTCGAAGTCTCGAAGACTCAAATAATTATTTAAGCCTTAGCCCTTAAGTCCTTGACGCTTGACGGCTTGACCCAACCCCGCAAAGGCGCAAAGCCGCAAACCGCGACGAACTCGACCCGTCTACCGGCGAGGCGGCGAGTATAATAATATCTTGTTGAAACCGGGTCAAACTCGTGTTTCCGGGTTGACCCGGACACGACCCGAAACAAGAAACGGGTCATTTTCTTAGACCCGAACACGACCCGTTTTCTACTCGTGTCGACCCGAACACGGATTTTTCCGTGTCGTTTCCGGGTCGTGTTTCGGGTCGCGTCGAATATTGACAGCCCTATTATTAATGATCTCTTCCAAATAGCTTACATCACAGAGGACTTCAAGTATGAAATATATGTTCAAATGACAAAGATCTACAATGAATGTGTGTGAATTTTTTAGTTAATGAACTTCAACAACAAAATTTTAAATTTAAAATTGTTCAAGCAATGGTTGTTTAAGTCTTCCGGGTGCCACTATGCACTATGCGCAACAACAGTGCAAGTAACTAGTGCACTGGACTACGAATCCGAGTGATTGATATAAAATGCATTGACAGGATACCAATTATGATAGTATATAGGTTATCTACCATTATTAATGCCCACACAATTGTACTGTTCAATAACATAAAAGTTATTGAGAGTGACATATGTGAAGAGTTGCTGGCAAAATGAGAGTAAGGAAAGTACAAAATTGTTGGACTATGGAAATAATAGAAGCATGAATGATCATGAAGAAGACAAAATTATTTGAAATGCCAAAATATATTTTTTCTGAAGCAAAATTCATCGATAATATATGCCACTGGATCCACAACACTTGTGTGGATAGAAGATGATATCTCTTAATAGCTCCAATCTATATGTTGAAAAAACATCCCGCATGTGCTCCGATCATCATATCCAACATCAAAATTCAACGGTCAGAGAATGATGCGTGGGCCAAATATTCAAGTTCATACTCTTCCTTAAAAAGATTGGACTCGACACAACTTGAATTATAAAATATCTCCTAAATTTCTACGAAATACAAATATTTTTTAAATGAATTTAACACAAACCTCGATGATGGCCGTGTTGAAAGAAATCTCAACCGTAGGGGACCCTAAACTTTTAAAATGCCTCTCAAATTCCGAAAAATGCAGTGACTTTAACGTCACCCAACGATGGACATGTTGACAATAAATCTCAATGGGAGGGGTTAAATTTCAAAACCAGTAAAAGTCTAAATCCTTAAAATGAAATTTATCACTTAAAAACTTAAAACTAAAATCCATCAACCTCCCGCAACCGTTTATTGGGGGTGATAAATTTGATATTAACCTCAACTCACAAAGAGCGGATGTCGTGTCAGGTGTATCATTAAGATTCATCCTCAAATAGCCTCTTGCCAACAGGGACGTGGCACGTGCCTTCTGATTGGGTGGTTTTGTCGTAAAATGGCACCACTATATTACATTCTTGGCCAAAACCCGTATGTTCCCTAACGGTTTTGAACCCTTAAGTAATGAATCATAGGGTATACTTGATAGGCACAAAGCTCTTTTTCAGCTAAGGTGGATTCAATTGTATCCCCTTAGACAAACACCATCCTAGGTCTACAAGGTATTCTTGGATGACGCAATCTATGGCTACCGATAAGGTGCCTTCTGTCAGGTTGGATCGACTATCTCCTCTGACTAAGTAGACCAGAGACTATGATAGCTTGAGATGACGAAACCATGAGATCTTGATCGGGCTTGTCTTCATTTCCCCCATCAGCTATTTTAAGTATATGGTGATAAATTTAAAAATCATAAATTCTAAAATCCAAAACCAAATTACAACCCTAAAACTGTTGCTATTACACACTGGGTTTACAACCTATGTGTCCTATCTTACGACTAGCATTAATTGAAAGTTCTCTCTGTCATCGAGATAGGTAATTAACTGTACGGGCTTGCGCCTATAAGAAACTAGAACTCAGATCATAAAGTCCTCATAAAATGAGGGTAAAACCCAATCTACCTCTGAAACCTAAATTCATTAAAACTCTCCTCGCACATATAAAACAAATAAGAAAGAGCTGGCACAAAGAGACTAGGACGTGAAATTTTCGGAGCCCACAAACTTGTAAAGTGCATATTGCCAAATTCCTTTCTGGCTTGGGAATGAATAGAAGACAACCTTCGAGGCCAAGGAGAGTTTCTATGAGTGAAGAGTGATATTTTTTGAGTTATGCAATGCACCCAGCACTTTCATAATGTCATTAATGAGATATTAAGATCCTTTCTAGAAAAAGTTTTGTTATTTTTTTTTATGGCATTATAATTTGTAGTACTTCTATAACAAACCATATACCGAGGACAAAAGTTGTATGTTAATATCACTATGTGTGAATTTGTGGCTACCACAATTCATTTCTTAGGCTTTATTTTCTACTTGCAAGGTTAAAAGGTAATCCGCACAAAGTCACTGCAATCGAGTTGTGACCAATCCCAACGTCCATTAGGAAAGTCCGAGGTCCATTAGGAAAGTCCGAGTTCCACTGTCTTACAAATTTTTACCCGTATTTCATTTGAGGTTTTAGATTGACTATCTCCCTATCACAGATTGTTTGAAACAAAATAATTCTCATAGGGATCGAAACAACAAAGCGGTTTCGATGCCTTTAAGAAGTTATTGTGCTTGGCACCTATCGTGACAATTCTATATTTGAGAAATCCTTTCAAGTCAAAATTAATTCTTTCGTTGTGGGAATCAGAGTTGTCATCTCCCAAGAAAAGAGACAAGTGGAATTCTTCCTTGACAAGTCAAGTAAAATCCAACAACAACTATGGTCTACCTATGGGCAAGAGTGGTACACATTGTGCATGCGCTGAAGTAGTGGAAGCATTATTTGCTACATCAATAATTTATTTTGTCGGTAACCGACAATCATGGTAATTTTTACATATGCAAAAGAACTTAAGTAGAATGTATGTGTGATGGGTCATGACTTTGCTAAAATCCAATTTTGTATTGAAGCATAATATGGGAAAATCAAATAATGTTGTTGAAACCTTGAGCAGACAAGCAAGTTTACTAATATCTGTCCAAATTATTATCACTTACTTGGAATTCATTGAAGGAGCAATGCACTGTGGATTCAGATTTTGAGAACTATGGAAGCATTGCAATTTGCACTCCCCTCTCCAAGACTATTCTCTGTAATAAGGATTCTTATTCAAGGATAATCGATAATGTATTTTGTAATCAACTCTTTGTGGAGGTTACTGATAAACTGCCAAGCTCTCAGGAGAACTCGCCAAGAAGGGCCAAGTTGCTAGCACTATGTCTTCCCAAGAAAAGGAGTTGGCCAAAGCTGATGATAAACATTGGAAGTTGACCTCCTTAGGTAGGTTGTTGAGAGACTCAAATTCGAATTTGCATCGAAAATGCCCTCTATTTTTCTTTCTTGTTTCCACTCATATGTATGATATGTATGGATGGAGTTATCTAAAATTTTATGTGATTCAGTCAATAATGGGATTTTTTCAATAAAGAGGAAACTTAGATTAAGATGCTCCAGAATGGGCTCTTGAGATAACTCGTTGAGAAGGTATGAGTTCTCAAGGAAGCATGATAATTTCCTGAGAAATGCTAAAGTTGATAAATGCTGATCAGGGAGGGTATAAGAAGGTCGGCTTTCTTTGGGAAGTTGCCAATAGCCGGGTACTCAAGAGACTGATTGAAAAGGGATTGTCTTAACAAAGAGAGGTCCACTTAGGGAATGACTGAGTGGGGTCTTGGTGATCCTATCATAGGTCCAGTTTGTCTAAGCAGAGTATAGGGTCAAACTTTGGGCTTAAGTAGTTGTCTATATAGGATTAGACTAAGGGTTTGTATGTTTGGAGGGATTTTGAGTATACTGTATTTCAAATGTAGGTATTTGGCTGGCTGAAAAATAAATCGAACATATATTATTAAAACTCATCCTTAACTCATTTTCTATGTTTTTTGAAATTGCTCAAATAGAGCAATTTCGAAATAATTGGGTCCCCCCTAACAAGCTCCCATCACAATCCCTTCTGCTTCACAAGCCATCGATTCTGTTGATGCCTGCCTCCAACAAGCTTCCATCGCAATTTCCTCACCCATGTCACCTAGGTTAGTTTTTTATTATCGACATTTTTATTAAATACACTGCATTAGAATACCCCTAAATTCCAAATACTCACTATCAAATAGCTCCCATGACTCTGGGCATCTAATCAGCCTGGGAGAATGAAAGTTTTGTCATAACTACAACCATTAAATTAAGTAGTTAACTACTCATTGCTATTAAAATAGTTGGTCAATGAGTCCAAATTTAACTTAGTTATTTTTTTATCAAATGTATTATATATATATATATACACACACACACCTTATCATTTTTTATATGTTGATATGGGGCAAATCCACTGAATTCTCGGATCTGAAGTTTCCTGGATTTCTTGATCCTTTTTGCAGATCCAAATATGGAACTCCAACGATTAGCATCCTATGCTCTGCAACTGGGGTTTTATTGTTGTCTTGGATGAGCTTCCAAGAAATACTAGAATTCCTCAATTTCTTATACGCTTTAGGGATGCTTCTTGAGTTTGCAGCTTTTATAAAGCTTAGGATAAAGAAACCTGATTTACACAGACCATATAAAGTCCCCCTTGACACATTCTGGGCAACTTTCATGTGCATTCCTCCTGCTTTCTTGCTTGTTCTCGTTATGTGTCTGGCCTCAATCAGAACATTTATTGTCAGTGGAACTGTTTTTCTTCTAGGAATTATTTTATATCCCACCTTGCAATATGTGAAAGTTAAGAAGTGGGTCAAATTTATTTCACCACCAGAGACTTTAGGTAGTTGCAATGGAGATCTTCCCACATTACCTGACGACATTATTGATGAAGCTTCTGTTAGCCTTTTGTAACAATAATCTTTATCTATATGAAGGAATCTGCAAGATTCTGAAGCAAAACTCTTATGTCATCTCCAAATTGGAATAGAAAAATTAAGTGACTTAGTTTTTTTGTATCATACCTTCTTAAAAGGGTTTCATGGTAAGAAAATTATGTATTAGATATTATATTTTGTGTTACATTTTTATTATTTCATGTGCTTTTATCATGAATTTTATTATAGATGGAGAGAAATATGATATCAGATATGTTGTGATTTAAATTGAGGTGTAAATTAACTCATTTGTTTGCTATTTGGTGATATTCTGAATTCTTATTTGAATATTTCTTGTTTAAGTTAAACTATAATTCCTTGATGGCTCCATGCTGATAGGAAATACTTGAGTTCGCAAGTAATCCTATCGGATTTACTTGAGTTCGCAAGCAAACCTAATCAATAATTAGTAAAACAACGAGAAAACGAAAGAATCATGGTGGAAGAACAAACAAACGATAGCAAAATCTTATAACAACCAAAGGGAAACAAGAACCAAACAAAGATACAAGAGATCCTCAATTCGAGAGGAGGATCGTCTCTCCCAAATCTCTAGACAAGATTGTCTAGAGCCCAAGCCTTCAAGAAATCCTATTCTCAACCAATCAAAATATGAAAAACTCCCTAATCCCCCTCATCCTCTTGAATACAAAATATTTCCTAATCAATTTTCCCTCCTAAGCCTAAACCGCCCACTCTGTTTGATTTTCAAAACCATAGGAGTGGGGCCCGCCCGTTTGGGCGGACAAAGCCAATGAGGTATAATCAATTTGAGCTAGCCCCCCTTGGGTCGGCTGGATCGGTTCACTGTGAACCGGTCTAACAATACCGCCCTCCCAAAGAACCACCTTGTCCTAAATGTGAAAATCAGGAAACTGATGTTTCACCCTCTCATAAGGTTCCCACGTGGCCTCGTAGTTAGGGAGGTTCTTCCACTTACTCAGCACTTCTTTTGTCCCATCTTCTTTCTAGCGAACACTCAACAGCTCCAAGGGTTCCAAAATCACCTCCAGATTCTCCGTAAGTGTCGCCGGTAACTCGAGGTGGGTTGTATGGTCTCCAATGGCATTTCTCAACTGTGATACATGAAAAATCGGGTGTATCATCACCGTTGATGGTAGTTTTAGCCTATATGCAACTGCTCCGATCTTCTCCAGCACTTCGTAAGGCCTAAAGTACCTTGGAGCCAGCTTCTCATTCCTCTTGTTGGAGATTGTCTTTTATCTATATGGTCGGAGCTTCAAGAACACTCTCTCCCCCACTTCAAACTGGATGTCCCTCCTATGCCCGTCAGCTTGTTTCTTCATAATTTGTTGAGCCCTCAACAGATATCTCTTCAGCTCTTCTAACACTCTATCCCTCTCCTCCAAGTACTCCTCAACTAAAGAAACTAGGGTACTGCTACTCCCAAAGTGTACCAAGTGGGGAGGATCCCTTCCATACAATATCATGAATGGAGTCATCTGAGAGGCAGAGTGAAAAGAAGTGTTGTACCAGTAATCGACCCATGATAGCCACTTAACCTAGAGCTTGGGTGTCTCCGATACGAAACATCTCAGGTAAGCATTCAAGCTCCTGTTCACTACTTCCGTTTGGCCATCCGTCTATGTGTAGTAAGCTGTACTCCTCTTTAGAACTGTCCACTGCAGCCTGAACAACTCTCTCCAAAAGTGGCTGAGGAATACCTTATCTCTGTTTGACATTATCGCCTCGGGTACTCCATGTTATCTGACCACCTCCCTGATGAAGGCTGAAGCCACAGTCACTACTGTGTAAGGGTGTCAGAGGGGAATGAAGTGTGCATACTTGCTCAACTTGTCCACCACCACCAAAATCACCGTGAACCCCTTTGAGCGGGGCAACCATTCTATAAAGTTCATAATATCTCTTCTCATACTCTGCCCGGTAGAGCTAACGGTTGTAGTAATCCTCTTGGTGACATAGCCAGGTACTTATTTATTTTGCAGATCTCACATATGGCTACCATCTCATCTACATCATTATGCATCCCCTTCCATTACAGTTCCGCAGCTTGCCTCATGTATGTCTTTTGTATGCATGAATGGCCCCCCACTACACTTCCATGAAACTCTTGGAGTAAGTTTGGGATGTGGATCGAGGTCCAAGGCATCACAAATCTCCCCTGATATAGCAGTTTGTCTCCCTCCATTGAGTAGCCTGGGTGGCTACCCTCTTCTTTCAGTAAATCTGACATGATATTTTCCAAACCTTCATCTCTAGCACTTTCCTGTCTAATGGCCTCCCAGTCAAGCATCAAAGGAACAGATAGTCACTGTCTGCATCTCCCCCATACATCTGGACAAGGCATCTGCCGCCTTGTTCTCCACTTCTGGCCTATACTGGATCTCAAAGTCATACCCGAGCAACTTGGATAGCCACCTTTGATGCTCCTCTGTCATCATCTGTTGTTCTAGCAGGTATTTCAAGCTCCGGTAGGATCGCCACTTCTGGATGGCCATTAATTCTCTCTCATACACTGATTTCAGTCGGGCTCTAGCAGTCAATACCTAGCTAAAATAGATAATGGGCCTTCGACTCTGCATAAGCACTGCACCCAGCCCGTATCCGAACACATCTGTCTCCACAATGAAGGTCTGAGTTAAATATGCAAAGCTAGGACCGACACCGTAGTCATCGCATTCTTCAAACTCTCGAATGCTGATGTGGCCGCCTTCCCCCATAGGAACCCGTCCTTCTTCAACTGCTCAGTGAGTGGCCATGATATGGAGCTGGACCCCTTAACGAACCTCCTGTATTAACCTGTCAGTCCTAAAAATCCCCTCAGCTCCTTCAGATTTTTCAGCACTGACCACTTTAGCATTGCCTCAATTTTGGATTGATCTGCTGCCACCCTTTCTTTTGATATCACATGGCCCAAGTACTCCACACTAGCTTGTGCAAAACATCATTTCTTCAAATTAGCCCTCAGCTGGTGCTCCTGCAATACCTCTAACACCTTTTTCAAATGCTCCTAGTGCTCCTCCTCTGTCCTTCTTTAGACCAGGATGTCATCAAAGAATATCAAAACAAATCGTCAGAGATAAGGTTTGAAAATCTTATTCTTAAGAGCCTGGAAAGTAGCAGGAGCATTGGTGAGGCCAAATGACATCACTAGGAACTCATAATATCCTTCATGAGTTCTAAAGGCCGTCTTGGGTGCATCCTCCTTCTTCATCCGGATCTGATGGTAACCTTATTTCAATTTTATATTGCTGGAGATCACGGTCCCACTCAATTCATCTAACAGCTCGTCAATGACTGGTATAAGAAACTTGTCAGGTATAGTTTCCTTGTTGAGTGCTCTATAGTCTACACAAAAACGCCAAGCTGTCATCCTTCTTTTTCACCAACAGAACAGGGCTAGAGAAAGGGCTGATACTAGGTTTGATGATCTATGCCTCCATCATCTCTCTAATCAACCTTTCGATTTCGTCCTTCTGGAACTGAGGGTAGCAATAAGGTCGTACACTGATGGGAGACACTCTCTCCAACACGATGGCATGCTCTTGCTCTCTCTGCGATGGCAATCCTTGAAGTGGCTGAAAAACCTCTTGGAACTACTGAATCAACGGCTGAATAGAGAGGGGTATGTCTCCTCCCTCTTCCAATCTCGCTCCCTCCAAAGGGATTTGGAAAGCCCGACATCTCCCTTAATCACTACCTTCCATCCATCATTAGCTCTATCGTGAGTGCTCCCCAATTCACCTTGGTGTCTCCGAAAGTTTGCAGCATTTCATCCCCAAAATGACGTCGGCACTCCCAAGCTCTAGTGGAAGAAAAACTTCCCTCACCTGTATCCCCTGGATCCTCAGTCGCACTCCTCTGCAAATCCCCTGACCTTTCTCCACCTTCCCCATCCCCATCATCACCCCGTAACATCCGGCTTCCACCAATTTCACTGCCAGTTGGTCGACGACCTGGGTAGAAATGAAATTGTGAGTAGCCCCACCATCAATCAGCACCACCAACTCTCTGTCCTCTATCTCTCCCTTCACATTCATGGTGTGATTCGTAGTGAATCTAACCACTGAGTTCAAGGAAACCTCAAACGTATCCAAGTGTAGCTTCTCCTCCATCTCCTCCTCACCTCCCTCATCAGTTTCCTCGTCATCACATACAGTGAGAACCTGAAGAGTTCGGTCCTTGCACCGATGCCCCGATGTGTACTTTTTATCGCACCTGAAGCATAACCTCTTAGCCCTCTTCTCCTGCATCTCTTTCTCTGTCAGCCGCTTGAAATTTTCCCTGCTTCCTCATGTCTTCTCCTTGGTGGCCTCTCGAGTCCCTCCTATTGCATGACCTTTATGTGCTAGATGCGTGATCGTCATCCTGTAAGTGCCCCCGATGCTGCTACTCCTGGCTCCCCTCTCCAAATTCCTCTTATTTTCCACCAGTTGGGCCAACTTCATGGCCTCCCCCAAGTCACAGGGCATCAAAACCTTCACTGCTGCTCGGATCTCTGCCTTTAGTCCTTTCATGAAATTTCCTTCCAATATTGTATATGAGAGACGTTCCACTCTGCTAGCTAGGTGCTCAAACTGCTCTCGGTAGTTTGCTACCGATCCCTCCTGTGTCAGAGCAAAGAAGTACTCATAGAAATCTCCTCCCCGGTCGGTTTGAAAATGTTTCATTATGTAGTCTTTGAATTCCCTCCAGTTCCTGATAGGCCTCATCTGATTTCTCTACTGATACCACGACAGGGCTTTTCCTTCCAAGCACAATCCGATTGCGATCAGCTTCTTCTCCTCCGTCAGCCCATTGATGGCAAAGTATCTTTCCACCTTGTTAATCCACCCATACGCATCTTCTCCTTCGAATATGGGCATTTTCAACTTCCTCATCTTCTGGTCGCCCCCATTGCCCCCGATTCTTCCATAGTTTCCCCTCTCTCAAGTGCTAGGTGCACCTCATATTTTTTGGTCTTCCCTTGCCCTGCCTTAGCCCAAACCCACTTCTAAATCCCCCAATCTTTCTTCAAAATTAGCACCTCGGCGGTCATAGTATCCCTCATGGCGTTCCCCATATCCGCCTCCTCTTTCTTCCCTCTAGACTGGCTCCAGATGGGGTCTTATTCCCTCTCCTTCCATGATTTCCACATCATCTTCCTCCCTACGAATTAAGGAATTCGTACTTTTTTCCTTCCATTGTTCCATTCTTTTTGCCACAAAAGCCGCTGTTTGGTTTTGAATTTCTAAAATCTTTTTTATCATGTCTCGTAGATCAGCAACTTGCCCTTCCATGGAGGAAATCCTTTCCTCCACCGTCGTTTTGATTTGCCAAGCCTTTCCTCCAGAGCATCCACTTTATTTGCCGCTATCACAATCCGGAGTTTGTATAAACAAAAAATTTGGATTTGGAACACAAAAAAAAAAAACAATCTCAATTCCTTCCGGGCAAAAAATCACCGCTGAAATTAGCCGAAAGCAATCCTCCACTGGTCCCACGACTTGCTCAGATACCAATTTGATAGGAAATACTTGAGTTTGCAAGTAATCCTATCGGATTTACTTGAGTTCGCAAGCAAACATAATCAATAATTAGTAAAACAGCGAGAAAATGAAAGAATTGTGGTGGAAGAACAAACAAACAATAGGAAAATCTTATAACAACCAAAGGGAAACAAGAACCAAACAAAGATACAAGAGATCCTTAATTCGAGAAGAGGATCGTCTCTACCAAATCTCTAGACAATATTGTTTAGAGCTCAAGCCTCCAAGAAACCCTAAGCTCAATCAATCAAAACATGAAAAACTCCCTAATCCCCCTCATCCTCTTGAATACAAAATATTTCCTAATCAATTTTTCCCTCCCAAGCCTAAATTGCCCCCTCCGTTTGATTTTCAAAACCATAGGAGTGGGGCCCACTCGTTTGGGCGGACAAAGCCAAGGAGGCGGACTCATTCTGCCTCCTATAAACAATTTGAGCCGGCCCCCCTTGGGCCGGCTGGACCGGTTCACTGTGAACCGGTTTAACACATGCTTAAGCTGTGAAAATTTATCTGAATTCTGATTTGGACCTTTGAGTTAATTTATCAATTCCATTTCATTAGGAGTGTAAGATTTTGTTTGGGACAATTTTATTACCTTTTTTTGAAACAATTTTTTAGTACAAAAATTTGTAATTCAAAGAATATTTGTACTAAAAATATGTTTTAAAAATCAATAAGAAAATCATCCCAAACGGAGCCTAAGTGAGAAACTAAGCAATTGGTTGGAATATATGATTGTCAAAGTGATAAATTTGTCTGAACTTTTTTTATAGAAGTCAAAATTTTATCAGCAACTTTTTCTTTAGGGTAAATTGTTAGATTAGAAATTTATTTCAATACGATTTCAGACCTACACAGCTCATCTTGGCCTGTTGGTTGAGAGCTTAGGCTTACAACCAAGAGGTCTAAGGTTCGAGTCTTTGTGTATGTGTTGTGTGTGTGAGTTTGCCTTAAATGGCCTAAATATCCAAAAAAAATATTTCAGACCTGATTTTGGCTATCATGTTAATGGAACACAGTGATTAAAAGTTCTGAAATTTTATGAATTGTTATGCTTTTATTTTTGTGGATGCTTATTGGCTTATCTATTACTTTATATATGCATATAGTAAAGAAAAGTGAAAGATAAAAAATGAGTTATATGTTATAAAAATAAATAAAATGAAGGAGAGAGAAATGAGAAAGTAGGTGGGTCCATCCCATTAATATACTACATAGTAAAGGAAAATAAAGCGAAGAAAAAAAGTTCATGAAAAGTCTTTATTTTGTGAACCTTAGAACTCGGCTTCCTTTGTTCGTTGATCTACCCGAACAACTTCCAACTGTTCTATCTTTTTTTCTTGGTCAGTTAAAATAGGGAGTACCTTACCATTTTTAATTGGGCAGGATTTCTATTAGGTTGCTTAATCAAAATGATGTGTGAAAGGATTTAACTGAGTTAATCAGACTCATAAGTCGGCTCAATTTTGACTTGATCAGCGACTCATTTTTTGGAAAATTATTAGGTGCGGAGTGTGCATCGTCCGCACAAGCACTGGGTACCACTCGATACCGCTGGGTATCGTTAGATACCTAGCGGTACCTAATGCTTGTTGCGGACGGTTCTCCCTGTCCGCACTCCGCACCTAATAATCTCTCCATTTCTTTAGCTCGATTAACTAATAAGTAAAACTTGAGCCAACTTTGATTCAACTTATCAGCTCATGATTGGATTCATTTAAATAGTATTAATATTAAATACACTTAAAAATATAAAATTTCAATCAATTTTGAGTAAAATTATTTAAAATATTTAAATATTATATTTCTCTTTCATATTTCAAGTGATTTATTATTATTTTTTTTTATTCTTTTATCATGTTATTATAATAACTGATTAAATAAAAATGATTTTATTTTTATTATTAGAAATGAGCTGGTGTGAACTTGTAAAATTAAGCTCAAACTTATTAATTAATTCTGCTCAAGCTCTGTACTCCTAATGTGATTTTTTTTTTTTTTTTTTTAACTTCTATTTTTCAAGTATAACATTTACTACCCGTTGCTTTTATATCAACTTTTTCGGTTTTACCTAACCCATAGATGATTAATTATTATGTGCGAATGTTCAACGTCGTCTAAAGATCAATCAAAATGGGTCATGTCACCCCTTCGCTCGGGACCGCTAATATTGTGCATTCAGATTGATTTCCAGACGGCGTTCTGCATCTGACTCCCGTACAGAATAATTTGTCCCCACAAATAAACGAAGATATCTTTGTGAATCTGCTTGATGTCAACGTTCCTTATATTTTTTTAATCTCCTGCACTGTTGCCTGAATGAGATCATTCAAAATGGCAATTGGGTTCCCAAAGGCTATTCATCAACAAGTAGTTAAAAACACTATATCCAATGTCAAAATTAGGGATAAAATGGCATTGGTTCGTTCTTAATCCAGTTTATCTTCAGCTTCCCATTTGAACGAACAATTATTAGGTCAGGTGACCTGACGTAACTCTACGTTCGGACGCCAATAATATGTCGCCACGTATTCTCACTCTTTACCACGCGGCCCGATGACCAAACCCGGATCGGAACCCAGAATTGCTATGTTCGCGTATTATTCGGTATTGCTAATTATTGCTCGATATTGCTAGGTATTGCTCGACAATAATGAGAAATACCATTATGTGAAGACCAATGTTCGGTATTGCTCGGTATTGGTCTTAACATAATAGTATTTCTCGTTATTGCCGAGCAAAATCGACAAATACCTAGCAATACCGAGTTTTTAGCAAAACTCGGTATTGATCAGTATTAGTCTTCACATAATGATATTTTTCGTTATTGCCGAGCAAAATCGACCAATAACTAGCAGTACCGAGCAATATGCGAACATAGCAATCCTGGGGTCGTTCTGGGTTGGGTTGTCGGGCCGCGAGGTAAAAAATAAGAACACGTGACACTATTTTATTGACGTCCGAACGTAGAACTACGTCAAGTCACCAGACTAAATAAAAATTCCATTTGAACCGCTGGATTTAACAAAAGACGCTATACTTACTAATATCAAAATATTCTAATATGATTTTTTATATTTCTTATAATAAAATATACCATTTATGTCCTATCTCCATCCATTATCAATGATGATATATTAATATTATTATTTTTGTATCTCTAAATGTTTCCCAAGTAATTTAACCCTTTCTACAAAAACATCATATGTTTTATTTCATAATAAATATTTTATTATTTTTAAATTTATTTTAAAATTATAAAAATATCATATATAAATTTTAAGCTCTTGCAAGAAAATTGGGTAATGATATCCTTACCCTCTTTTTTTTTTCTTTGAGTAACACTTATAAATGTTTATTGAGCCAAAAGCACTGAAATACCTGCTCCAATTTATGAGGGAGAGTTATTCAAGACACATTTGCACCACTGCACGTGCTTTTATTCTGAGGTGATCTGCATCGCACGTGCCATCGAAACGTGGCATTGCTCGATGAAAATATCTACATCACATGAAAACAAATCCCTCGGCACGTGCGTTACAACCACAAAACAAAGCAGAGTTAAAACAAAACAAAAGGAGGAGAAGACGGCACGTGACCCTCGCACGCGCGAATCCTTCCTCTCCCCCGTCGGCAATCAAAACTCAGAAGCTTCCACAGAGCCTATGCGGCCCCGACTCGAACACGCTCCACCGCGCGCCAGATCGCCGGCGGCGGGATAACGTCGAGATCTCCATATCGGTCCTCTGCAGAATCTCCCACATCACGTGCACGTCCTCGTATTCGCACGTGCTCACCTCCTGCCTCAGCTTCCACAACCCTAGAAGTAGAAGGGAAAAAAACGGGGCGAGAATAGACTCATCAGATTTCGATCGTCGCAGATCTGAACCATATATATTCGATATCGGATCTTTTAAATGCTTACCGGTTTTTCTTACGCGGAAGCGAAGAGCTACGCGGATCCAAGCCTGTTTCATGGGAAATACCATTCGATCCCACCACTCCATTGCTTGATTGATGATTCTTCCTCGCCTATTTCTCTTTCTTCTGTCTTCTTCTTTCGGCGATAGCTCGGTGATGAGAAGGGTGAATGTAGAGAGAGCAAGAGAGATATAAAGGAGAGAGAGAGAGAGAGAGCTAAAAAGAGGGGGAGGAATCTCTGTGTTTCTCGGAGAAGGTAGAATTATTGCAACCTCCGCTATTTTAATGGTGGTCACCGGCCACGTGGGCACTCGGCCTGAGGGATGGACCAGGACTACGGGGAACCGGCCTTGTAATGGCCAATAGTAGAGAAGATCAAATGAATCTAAGCCCAGCAGGCCGGCCTGGCTTCTAATATGGGGCTGTCGTGGGCCAGCAGCCCATAATAGTATTCCCAATCATCTAAAACTAAAAGATTTATTATAATGATTGGGGCGTTGGGGGTAGAATTGGAAGTTTGGAACCTATATTGTATTTTGCAGTCGGAGAATTTCAAAATTACTGCACGTGGCTTAATTATTAAAAAATTAACTATTTTAATAAAATATTGAAATTGTATTATTTTATTTTAGAATAATTGTAAGTGTCTTCAAGTTTTTTTTATTAATATTTTAAGTTAAAATAAGAATTCTATGCGCATTAATTATGATTTTAGTATTTTATATTGGAAATTATTATAATTTTTTGACTTTGAAATAAATTAATGAACAAAATAGGTAATTTAAATTTTTTAAAATAAATTTCATAATTTTAATATATTATTGGAATTATGATTTGAAGTTATAGCCACTTATAAATTTGATTAGATTTTTATCAAATATATATATATATATATATATATATATATATATATCAAATATATATATATATATATACCATAAAAATAGATAATTTTTCCAATAAAATTTTAACCTTTTATTTAATTTAATTGGATTTCATAATTTTAATTAAATTAAATAAAATTTTAGCCTTTCTACTTTTTGGAGTCCATATGTTGATGAAATCTTGAAGCCTATTATGATTCATGGAATTTTATAATATATGGAAAACATTAGGCTTTTATGCAATTGAGGGGGCCATTTATTAAGCTCACAGCTAATGCATTTAAACAAAATGTTAGTAATATTCCTGCTGAAAGACAATTTTCATTTGAAAGATATGTGACCCAAGCCGGCTCATGTGCCACCGAACCACGAACACAAGTTCTAGCTCGAGTTTAAATTCAAACTCATATATTATAGAAGCTCAAGCATGGCTTGACTCAACTTGTCGAGCCAGATTGATTAATATTAATTAACATGTCAGTATTTATATTAATTGAATTAATTATTTTTGTCTAAATTTTGAACTAGAAAATCGAGCATCAAAACAAGTCAATTTGTGGTTTCCTTAATGAACTTGGAAAATTCAAATCGTGCTCAATTTAAATCAAACGAGTTTAGCTCAATTGAACAAGAACTCGACTCGGCTCAATTACAACTTTGTCTAATATTTTTAATTTAATTTATCAGTAGTCTTCTTTTGCTGATTCCGAATCAGAAATTAAATCAGGAAATAATATAAATTTTACTCAATTGTACATTATGAGCTACGGCTTGGAATTTTTCAATTTTCCGAAGCATAGAAACAAAGTGAAATGGAAAATTTTGTGTATAAAACCAAACAGAAAAATTTTTAAATCAAATATTAACTTATTAAATTTATAATTAATTAAACGCGAAGCAGTTCCGGCGGATGTTGCCCTGGCCGGGCTTGGTTTTGACTCCAACCCGGCCCATTCTGGTCATCGCTATCACAAATCTTTGGGCCGAAAGGTGTGAATTTTTAGCCCATTTATTTACTGTGGGCCTCGACCTTGTATCCTCGTACAGGATCTGGTCAGAGGTTAGTAGGCCCATGCCCATCTGAAGGTTTTTGAAGTACTGGTTATCGAACCGCAAGGTAGTGATAGGGTCAAGAGGGGCCACCAAGGTGGGGTCCACATTTGTCGGACACAGTTCCTGTAATTGGGCCGCGTAGGTCCGATTCAGGGTCGGGTCGACCGGGTAGTATTTGCTGAAGTTTCTGACCCGGTTCGCAAAGTTGCTGCAGTGTGAGAAACCCAGTGTGTGCGCACCTGTAAGGAGAAATTTTTTTAAAAAAATAAAAAAAATTAGTACTTTTTTTACACAGTAATTGAAGAGAATTCTTTTTCAAATATGAAATTTGATTGAAATAAATAAGAAAGTACCTTCAAATGCTAAATTAATGACGCAATACAGTAAACAAGACTTAAGGGCATTGTCTTAAAAGCTTCTGAACGAGATTCATTATTCATTGATAGTACAAAAAAAAAGTCAGTAGAAGTAATTTTAGACTTAATTGGAATGATATTTTTACTATTTTTTAAAGCAGTGTTTTTTACTAAAAAAAATTACTTTGAGAAGTAATAAGAAAGTCATCCCAAATGAAGCGTTAGAAATAAATTAAAATATATTTGAGTTGTAGGCTTTGTTTGGGAAGACTTTTTTTATTGTTTCTTAAAGCAACTTTTTAGTATAAAAATTAAATTTTTTATACTATAAAGTTGTTTCAAGTAGTAAGAAAGCCATCCCAAAGGAAGCCATAGAGTCTATTTTAGATAGTTTTCTAGTTATTTTTTCTAGATAATAATAACGATGTCATTTGACTATTGCTTTCTCATTATATTTGAAATATTTATATGATGAAAAATTATTTCTTGAAAATTAGTTGCTAAATTATTTTCCTCACAGCAATTTAACAATTAGTTTTATAAAATATTGTAGCAGTCACAAATTACTCGTAATCCATGTTTTTTTGATTTTTTTCCTTTTAAACTCTTTAAATTAGAATTTTAAGAGAATTATGAAAAATATGAGTGTTGAATGCTATAGATAGCTAGATTTTTTAGAAATATTAAAAGAAAAAAAAAAAGATAAAAAGGAAAAAAATTAAGAGCTAGAAAAGGCTTTTTTGGACATCTATCCTAGTAAATATTTTCTTTATGATCTAGTTATTTTTCTTATTTTTTATTTTATTTGATTAATGTAGTTTGTTATTTTTGTATATTATTAATAAAAATATGCCATATAATGCTTTCTAAATTAAAAAAAAAAACAATTCATTTCTATTTTGTTGTAGACTCAAGTTATTGCAATAGTAGAACCATATAATAATCTTGAAATCTATATTGAGTTTAATTTTTTAATAATTATTTTATTTTCGCATCATATTCTATAGAATATTCATATAAAAAATATTTTTTTTAGAAATTAAATGGAAGAGCACTGCCTGACTAGAAGAAACTCCTCAAGAAAAATGAAAGATCTGACTCTCATAAGCTGTTTTTTAGGTGGCAATGAGAAATATCAGATTTCAAACAAAATCTGGAACTAATCCTTCATAGAAAGCCTATTCAATTTTTCTGGTTAAGTAGGCTACCTAACTGTTCCTGTTATGTTTGAAATAATATGGCCATAGCCCCTTAGTTACATATATAGTTAAAATCTTGTATCTAATATTTTGTATCTGTCGTGTCATTTGTCCAATCAGTAAATTTATTTTTACAATTAAATTTAGGCTTCATTTGGGACGGCTTTTTTAAAGCAGCTTTAAGAAGTAGTAAAAAAAGCCGTCCCAAATAAAGCCTTAGATTTCGTTTAGGACAGCTTTCTTACCACTTTGTAAAGCTATTATAAGGCTTCGTTTTGTAAGGGACGGCATTCTTAATGTTTCTTAAAGCAGTTTTTCAGTATAAAAATTAAAAAATTCGTACAAAAAAAGTTGTTTTAAGAAACATTAAGAAAGATATCCCAAATAAAATCTTAGGCTTCATTTGGGATGACTTTCTTACTGCTTCTTATAGCATTTTTCTAGTACGAAAATTTTAATGTTTGAATTAGAAAGTTGTTTTAAAAAGCAAAGACTTAGATTCGTTTAAGACAGCTTTCTTTCTGTTTTGTAAAGCTATTATAAGTTGTTATAAAAAAACAACTTTCAAATACATAATTTTTTTTGAATGCAAAGAAGACTGTATGAAAATCATGCAATTTGGAAGATTAATGTGAAAAGATCTCAATTTTCACAAAAATAAACATGATAAGAAAAAAAAAAGGTGTTGTAATTAATAATAAAATTGTATGAAATCATGTAATAATTTATATACGCACCAGAGAGAGCGATCATATCATCCTGAGAGAGTCCGAGGTCGCCAAAAATGGCGTTTAACTGATCAAGATTACTGCTTGCTTGTGGTATTTTTCCATTGACGCTCGTTGATGTTGAGCTTAGTCCATCCAGTCTTCCTAGCTCCACCTCATATGAAGGCCCCCCGGCCTACAATTTTCTCTATGCATTTAATTTTTTTTTAAAAAAAATTGGGATATAATAATATTTATTAAATTTCATCAATTAATGTTAGTAGAAATCACTACAAAATTAAAATTTCTATAATTTGTTAAAATTGTGTTGAATAAACAATTGATTGGAAAATCATAATGAAAATTACTTTGAATGAAAATGTTGAAATGATTTGGAACTAAAACACTTTGAAAATAAAAATATATGCTAATGAATTGGCTCGATCAAGTTCAACATGTCTTGAAGTGAGATCGGTTAAGGTGTATTCGTCGAAGGTGAAGATGTACTAACCAAGGGGTGAGGACCACTCGATAAAAGTCAATGTACATCATCTAGATATTTTCTATGAGCTCTACAAAAACTCTTTAAGGATTCGCCAAAGACTCTTCAAGAACTCTTTGTTGACTCTCCAAGGCAGACTCTTCACGGCCTCTCTTCGTGAACTCCAAAAATTCTCTTGGGAATCTCCGAGTTTTCTGCGGACTCGTTAGATTCATAGTAAACTCGGTAACTCGAAACTGTCACTCATCACTAATCACTTGATGGGCTCACTCGTCACACTCCAATGATCACTTAGCGGAACCATTCACCAGGCTTACTCTGCAAACCCCCAATTAGCAATTATCCATATATATATTTTTAATATTTTCTTAACTTTGGTCATCTTATATCCCTATTTCATTTATATAATTTAATAACTCATGAATAAATCAGAATAAAATATTAATTTCCTATAGCGATAGAGATAATGACAAGGTTGGCAATTTTTTTACAATATTAAGGCTCATTCCTATATGAGTGGGGTCTACAAATTATTTCAGAGGGTATTTTTGTCGTGCAATATAGATTTCTCCCAAAAATATAGTGCATGATTTCTTATGATTTTAATTTTCACCCTATCAAATAAAATTTTAATAATGTTTGGCTGTTTGACTCCGCTTTAACATAGTAAATAACTAAATATCACCATATTAAACATACGACGCTCGTGTCAATGTGATTTTCATGAAAATATTAAATATACGAAAAAAATAATAATTTAATTGATTTAATCCCTTATTTTCATGCTCAAAATGAAGATAAACATCAGATTACCATCAGATTATAATTTCTTCAATTGAATTGTTCATATTAGTTGAATATTTATAACCCTCTATAAGTAAGGGTGTAAACGAGTCAAGTAGGTGTCGAGCAACCCGCTAATTGAGCTTGAGCTTGAGCTTGATTAATTAATTAAATTCGAGCTCGAGCTCAAACTTAACTCTGCCAATTCGAGTTGACTCAGAAGCCGACTCGTTTATTATAAAAGAGAAAAAATCACTCTCATTTAAGCAGTTATTATAATAGCATGTTAAAACAAGAATAAGGCAAGCTTATGAGTCAAATTGAGCTAACTCAAACTTTGCTATTGGCTCTTTGAGCTCTTGTCGGAAGCAATTTATCAAACAGAGCCCAAACCGACTCTCTACCCTTCTAACCCATTACACTCCCTAATATATATAAGGAGTATGAATGAATATATATATATATATATATATAATCTATTTTAGAATATTTAATATAATAAATTATTAATAATTCTATGTATAAATATCAAATAATTTAACTATATTATTTAAGGATTTTAATATATTTATTTAACAATTTAATTATATTATGTAATGGCTTAAAAACAGGGCCATTCTGATATCCTCACGCCATTTTTTTTAGGTCCTTAGTGATGCTTAAATTAATCGAATGCAATGAAAGAAAACTAAAACATAATTAATTAAGCAGTAATTAGTAATTACCAAATAAACAACATCTCTCGTGGCCATGACGAGAATATCCGCACAGGAAACCTTGTTCTCGCACTGCGGCACCGCGTCCACCGCCTCCTTCGCCCTTCCCACCGTATCGAACCCATCGCCGGCGATCGATAAGTTGTCGGGATGATCTCTCTCCGCTGTATTCTCCGGCGTGGAAGCTATCAATATAGACCCATCACAACCCTATAATTACAAGCTCAGACATCAACTTTCATCGAAATTGCAAGTCAACAAATTCAATATTAGATTAATACCTGAACGAAACAGTCATGGGCGAAGAGGCGCAGAGTGCCGGGGATGGTGACGATGGTCTCTTTGAACTTGGCAGTGACCGCAGTGCGGACGATATTTTCGACGTTCGGGCAGATATCCGCATAATAATCCCGTCGGAGATTTTCTGCGGAAACGCAGAAAAGGAGGAGAGAAGGAAGGGTGAGGAAGAGGAGCGTGTTTCGATATTTTGCCATTGAAGAGAATTGAAGGGGGAGGGAAAGGGGCTGTTTTAATTAGAGTTAGTTGAGGAGCTTAGATGCTCAATTTATTGAGGGGTTGAAGGAAGAGGGAGAAAAAATGAGATTTTTTTTTTTCATTTAAATTTATTTTTTGGAACTGGGAATCCACCTGCTGCCACTTACAAAAAGGTGCTTAGCGGCGTGACAAATCCTCGACTGATCTAGAAGAGGTGCCCACCGCAAAAACCTCTTGGCCCGCACTTGATTGGGCCCCACTTAAGAGGCCCTGCCGCTCGAGGGGAATTGAGCACGGGTTGGGGGTTCCCAATCATACTCGTCCACCAACCAAGCTAAGTAACAATGTGTTTAAATTTATTTTTAAAAGAATTTAAAATATTTTTTAATTATTTTGTTTTTCTTGTAAAAGATATAGAAGAAAAAGATTGATGAGAAAGTTCTCCTAGTGGAAAGGGCCAACTTTGCTTGGCCAGTTTTTGAGAAGAAATGAATGGTAATATTCACTATGATTCCAATGGAAAAAATTAGGAAATGGACAAATGAAAGAAAGGTTTGTTTTTAAAATATGTTTGGGAGAGTTTTTGTAAGATAAAATAATAATTTTTTATAGTAATTGTAACTAATTGGAGGTATATTTGTAAAAGAAAAAATTTATATAAGAATATCATGATATATTTAGTATGATGATGGGGTTATTTTTATGATACATGTACTTAATTTAAGTCATTTTATATTATTTTTTAATAAAATTAAATTATTAGATAATATATCTACATTTTTTGAATAATATATTTAAATTATTAGATAATAAGATTAAATTATTAGACATTTACAATTGAAAAGTTCTTAATTAGCTAAGTTTTTTTAAGGAATAAATAGTGATAAACACTATGTTTTAAACTGTAAACTAGTTAATGGCAAATAAAAGAAAGAATAGTTTTTTATAAAATGTTTGAGAGTATTTTTGTAAGTTCAATAATATTATATTTATAGTAATTGCAATTAATTGGAGTAATATATTAAAAAAAGAAAAAAATTTGTAAGAAAATTATGATATATTATGAATAAAAATGGAATCATTTTTATGACGCAAGTTATAAGTTTTCTCTCTCACATATTATTCATCAATTAATACAATTAAACTTTTAGACAATATATCTAAACTATTAGCGAAATATATTTAAATTATTAGGCAATATTACTAAATTAGCTATTAAGCATTCACAAGTTGAATCATTATAGAAAAGAGTAATGTGAATGTCTATTAGATTAATTATATTATCCAATAATTAATTATAGTTCTCTAACAGTTTAAAACATGACAATAAATTCTTGATCTTGGACTACCTGTTGGAACCATCTCAATCATGTGTGACAACACAAGTGCAATTTGTATCTCTAAGAATCCAATTCAACACTCTCGAACGAAACATATAGACATTAGACATCATTTCATTAGAGATCACGTCGCTAAGGGAGATATAGAATTACATCACATCACTACAGAAGATCAATTGGCAAACATATTCACAAAACCTTTAGCTTTTGACACCTTTAGCACCTTGAGGACTAGATTAGTTGTCATAGATATAAATGCAAAAAAAAAATAAAAAAAAATAAAATAAAATAAAAAAACAAAAACAAATCAAAAACAATAATTTTTAGGGCTGCTCCTGATCACCACACACTCACCGCACCAACACTTTGCATTGACTGTTCATCGTACTGTATGACCTATATCGTACCGTACGATATATCACAATCTAAATACATCCACCAATAGGCAGATTTCAGCTCTGTTGATCGTACTGTACGATCAACATCGTACTGCATGATAATCCTCCAGCATAATTGCCTACCGTATTGTACGATACCTCTTCTTCGTACAATACGATCCACGTCAGCACCGGATCGGTACGATATTTATTATGTATCGTACTGTACGATACACCTGTTCGTACAGTACAAAACTTTTGGTCAAAAGTTGTATTGAGGCCTCGGGACGATCGATATTCGCCTGATCGTACTATATGATATCTATCGTACTGTACGATTGGACCGACTTTTCTCGAAAAGACCGGTCAGAATATTAATTGTCTATCGTACTGTACGATCCAAGATCATACTGTACGATTCTCAAAATTTCCTATAAATACCTATATCTAGGCTGTTCAAATCACTCAATCCTCTCCTCACTCAGCCTTTCCTTCGTTTTCGTGCCCTCTTGCGATGTTTAAACAAGGTCGGATGACTGCTGGAAGCTCGTCCTTGTTGAGTCGCCAACCTGATCGCTTTCTGAATAGTGAGAATGAGGAAGCCTACCACCGATACAAAGCCTGCAAAATTTCCCCTTCGAAAATGCTTAATCAGGCCGCTCTCAATTTCGAGGTAATGGGCCTCTTTGCTTCCACCACCTTTCAATTTCTACTCACCCTGGCGTTTCCATATAATTCTGAACTTCTTTTTGAATTTCTCGCCAACCTCACCTACACCGTCGATACCACCACTTTTCACTCCTTTGTTTGTGGCCGCACCATTAAGATAACTAGAGCCGACATCGCCCGATATATAGGGCTGTCCACTGAAGGACCTATGGTTCGCTCGTTTCTTACCGATGAATTTGATTGGAGCGATGTAAATAGAGTCCTTAGGAATACTGCTTTTCATCAACACCAGCCTCTTGTTCAATCCTTAACCCGAAATGCCCGTATAATTCAACATGTTCTTCGAACCTCTATCATACCCAAAGGTGGCGACTGTATTAATCTGACCCCTACCTTGTCCGTCGCTACCTACCTTATTATGTCCAACATTAAGTTTGATGAGGTCGATTTGATTAGCAACTATATTCGCCACATGACTTTTGTTCGTCTACCTACCACCTGACGGAAACAGAATCTGGCTCTTGGTCACCTAATAAGATATATCCTCTACAATAAATATCAATTATCCTACCCTGGTGAACCCGACATGTTTCCTATTTTTTATACGGATGCTTCCTTCCGAATTCACTTTCATCAGGGTCACGAGCCTGAAGAACCCGTCTTTGATGAAGAAGAAGGAGAATATGCCCCAGCCGCAGCTCCAGCTCGACCACGACGCCATGCCACACCCCGAGCACCTGCACCAGAACCAGAACACCCTGATGATGATTTAGTCACCCGCTTCGACCAGCTGCAGACTCGTCTCGACATGCATATCAAGAACAACATCAGCAACACGAGACTGATATGCAATGGTTTGGAGAGCATTTTATGGTAATTGATCACCGCTTCGATGCTCTATTTCAATATTTTCAGCCAAATCCATCTCCACCACCAACTGATCGGGACCCATCTGACTAGATTGTTTGTGTTTGCATTGTAGTTTTTTTCTTTTCCTTTTTTTGGCTTTTAGTTGCTCCTCCTTTTTGTACTGTCAAAAGGGGGAGAAGTTTGTTGTAATGCCTGTTATCTAAATGCATTCCTTTTGTTTCGTACTTGCTTTTAGTATTTTTTTTCTTGTGTTTAATTTAAAATATATATATATATATATATATATATATATATATATATTTATATATAAACAAAAAAACAAAAAAAATGTTTTTCTTTCTAACTTGCAACAAATTATTTGACATCACCAAAAAGGCGGAGATTGTTGCAACCCATGACCCCGAGTTTGAGATTTTAATGATTCCAAAACCCTAGCCGTAGTTTAATTTGAGTAAGTGATTTTGCGCCATTCGTACTGTACGAACATGTTCGTACTGTACTATCTATTTTAAATACTTACTTAAATTAACCCGTGATTAGTGCATATAATCCAGGCCTAATTACAATTTGAACATCGTACTATACGAACATGATCGTACCATATGATGAATAGAGACGAAGTATGATCGTCCCGGATATCGTCCCGGACGATCTCTTGGTTTTTGTCACATCGTACTGTACGATAGTAATCGTACCATACGATGAACAGAGACGACATCTGATCGTCCAGACCATCGTCCTGTATGAATAGTATCTTGTTGGATCGTATCGTACGATATTATATTGTACAGTACAAATTGTTTTTGAACTGTTCGTACAACTTCGTACCAGGACGATGTCTGTTTATGAATATCGTACTGTACGATGTGTAATCGTACTGTACGAATAGTAACGGCTACTTTTGAATTCAGAGATTTTTGGAGCCTTTTTTAGATATCAATCAAGTCCTTTTTCAAAAAGATTAACAGAGGGGGTGAACGTGGTTAGAGAGGGATTCCAAGGGAGAGAGCTCTAGAGAAATTCTTGAGGGTTGAGAGAGGAAGGAGGAGGTGAGCATTGTGAGGGAGAAGAGGTGTGAGGGATATCACATGGTTGCTCCAAGCTTGTTGTATCTTGCTCCTCCTGTGGCCTGAGAAGGATTTGAGGGAGGATCTCCAAGGGAAAGGCTCGTCTACATCCGTTACCTCGAGGTTCTCTGCCTTCTCCAGGAGGGAGAAAAACGAGAAGGTTCTCTACCGTCTCCAGGAGGGCGAAAACAGAGGTTGGCACTCCGCCAGGCCGGGTTGGTAAAAGGGAGGTTTGTAAAGGCTTCTCCGCCTTGCCGAGGGGGGCAAAAGGAGAACTATTTTGATAGTGAAAATCCCGGAGTGGAAGACTCCGGGGAGTGGACGTAGGTCATATAATGACCAAACCACTATAAAAATCTTGGTGTGTTCTTTCCTTATCGTTATTTACGTTTTACTTGCTTTTAATTTTTTCATATCTATTGCATGTGAAATTTTGTGGAAGGAAAAATTGCTTAAAATTTTGTTATAAAATTTCAAAAACAACAAAAAATTAGAACTCTTGTTTAGGGTTACTTTTATTAAGAAAAAGATTTCTACAATTCCCCCCCCCCCCTCTTGTCGTTTAGTAATTTCAACATTATCCTATTGTGTCAGAATTTTGGGAGTAAAAGAGTGGTGAGTAATCTAATTAGGAGTGAAATCTTTATTAAAATGAATGAAGCACAGCTAGATTAGCAATATTAACAGGGTTGGAAGTATAGGAGCCATCTTCCCTTTGGATGTTATTGATACAATTCTGAATCCTTTTCCTCTTAACAAGAGCATGAAAATATTTGGCATTGTTATCCCCCTCAGCCAGATGTTTAGCAACAACTTTCTTCTTCCAAAAAACCTCTTCCTGAGATTGATATTTAAAGAGTTCAATTTTGGATTGTTTTAACAAGGCAAAGTTCACATTCTAACATAAATTTTTATAGGAATTCACACAATCTTCAGCATAATGAATAATAGAAAAAATATTTTTAAAAACATTGTGATTCCACCAATTCAGCACTTGCTTCAATCTTTTGATCTTGAACCGAAGACTATTCATACCAAAAATTGAATTATCTGGGTGTAAAGGAGCATGCCAATTATCATGAATAATAGGAAAAAAAGAGTCATTAAGTAACCACATGATCTGAAAACTAAAGTGACTGTGGGAATTAAAATTTCTATTCTTAATAGTAATAAGGAGGGGAAAGTGGTGCAATAATGTTCAACTAAGATGTTGGACATTAATTAAATTAAAAAAGTTAATCCAAGAGTCATTAAAAAGCACACAGTCAAGCCTTTGCCATAAGTGACCCCTATTCCAAGTAAAATTGTTACCTGAAAAACCGATATCAATTAAGTTGCAGAATAAAATCATATTATTAAAATC